TCTCTCTTCTGATTAGTTTAGTTTAAGTTCTCTTTTGTCAGATATTAGAATTGCTATGTCTGCTTTTTTCTTAGTGCCATTTGTGTGGTATATTTTTTTCCATTCTTTCACTTTGAGATAGTGTCTGTCCTTGAAAGTGAGATGAGTTTCTTGAAGACAACAAAAAGATGGGTTTTGTTTCTTAATTCATTCACATAGCCTGTGTCTTTTCACTGGGGAGTTCAGTCCATTAATATTTAAATTTATTAATTGAAGTCGATCCTGTCATTTTCATTTCTGTTTACATTCTTGATATATCTGGACTCTTCCACAGTTATATCTTCATTGGATTTCTTTCTGCAATCCTTTGGGTATAGTCATTCCTTTCTTCAGCTCTTTGTATTGCTCCCAGAACTCTCTGAAGGGCTGGTTTTGTGGACATGAATCCCTTCAGCCTATTTTTGTCATGGAAAATTTTTCTTTCTCCTTCAAGTATAATAGACATTTTGGCTGGATATTGTAATCTGGGTTGGCATCTGTGGTCATTTAAAACTGGGAATACTTTGGTCCAGGCTCTTCTGGCTTTTATAGTTTGCACTGAAACGTCAGCTGTAATCCTAATGGGTTTTCCTTTATGTGTGCCTTGTTCTCTTTTTCAGTTTTCAGAATTGTCTCTTTGTTTTGTACGTATAGTGTTTTTACTATGATGTACCGTGGAGAGTTTCTTTTCTGATCCTGTCTGGTGTTCTGTATGCTTCCTGTATTTGTATCAACATGTCTTTCTTTAATTTTGGGAAATTTTCTTCCACGATTCTGTTGAAGTTCTGGTCCATGCCATTATCTTGGGATTCTTCTTCTTCCTGTATTCATATGATTCAAAAGTTTGTTCTTTTTATGTTGTCACACAATTTCTGCATATTCCATTCTTGTGATTTCTTAAATTTTTCATAACCTTTGCTTGAGTGGTCTAGTTCGTCCACTTTATCTTCCAGTCTTGATACTCTGTTTTCCATTTCGTTCATCCTATTGTTGAGGCTTTCTCCTGTTGTTTCTAATTGACTTACTGAGTGTTTAACTTCCTTCTTCATTTCAGCCCT